AAGCTTCCTCCGCGTTCTCCTGTTTCAAGGCTGCTAAGCTTGGGCTCCAAAAATCAGCATCAAACATTTTTGACTTGAAAAAGCTGGTGCCAGAAGATGCAAGGCCGCTCTGAGGCAGCGGTTGCATCAGCCGCTCAGGAGGCAGCCTGCAGCTGTGGACATACCCCCCTGTCCTCTCAGCTGACCTTTCAGAGGTTCACAAAGGAGAATAAAGCAGGAGCCAGGAAGCCCACGGGCTGGCTTGGATCCTGTTTCCTGTACTCTCCCCACCCCGCCTCTTTAGACCTAGTACAGAATTCAACTGAGCTCCTGGGCCTGCTGCCTGGGCGTCCCTACCTCCTGCCTTAGAACCCAAACGTGCAATTCTCCAGCGAGGCCCTCGCTGGTGTCTCCCACTCTCGTCTTGCTCAGCCCAGGCTCTGCTCAAGTTGCCCCCAGGCCCACCTGCCCACCCTGTCGGCCACTCTCCAACTCGTTAGTCCTCCTCACTTTGTCTGCCCCTTGAAATCCCCCCAGGTCTTCACCAGCTTTCCTGGACGCAAACCCAAGCGGATTCGCTGAACACTGGGCGCCTCTGCCGGGCCCGCTCCCTGCAAGGAGCAGCTTCTGTTTTGCCGTCGTTAGGTGTACCTCCAGGATGGTAGCTGACAGCAGCAGGAGCCCGCTGTTAGGAATGTGCTTTGGCAGCAGGCACGGGCAGCTTCTCTATTGATCAGGGCAGACGGGTGGAGGAGCCCGGAGCCCTCCGTGGCTTTTTCAGGCTTTAATGCTCTTTCTGTTACAGGGAAGCCCAGAGTGGACTGGGCCGCCTGTCTGTGGGGCCTCACCCGCACGACCCACACACTCACAACTCAGTTATACTGCAGGCACACACAAAAAGGGTCAATAACGGGTTTATTTACAAAAGGGGAAGGTAATAGGAAACAACCCAGGGAAAGAGAGCGGGATACAAAGTAACTGCAATACCTTACGGCTAGGCTGAATGAGCACATTGAGTCACGCGGTCCAGAGAGCTGCTTCCAGAGCGAGAGAGAACAAGATGCAGTGGCGCCCTATTTATCCTCCAAATGTCCCAGAATTCTTGCTAGCTCTGCCCTTGGGTCCCCCCAGTTTTCTCCCTGGTACTGCTGGGATTTGCAGTTTCCAATTACTGGAGTAGGGGGTGGAGTCCAGAAAGCTGGAGTAGGGTGTAGAGACCACAAGACCCTGCAGAGTTCCTTTAGGACATCCTTCCCCTTAACAAAATGGCGCCCTATTTATCCCCCATGTCCCAGAATTCCTGCTAGCTCCGCCCTTTGGTCCTCGCAGTTCTCTCCCTGGTACTGCTGGGAGTTGTAGTTTCCAATCACTGGAGTAGGGGGTGGGGTCCACAAGACTCTGCAGAGTTCCTTTAGGACATCCTTCTCCTTAACATTTCTATGCCAACTGTGGGGCAAAATCCACAGAATGGCAAGGCTGGGAGGCGGGGGGCCCAGGAGGTGGGCAACAACCAAGCCCCCTGAGCCCCCAGAGAATCTTTACTCTGTGCTCTTTGGGCTTCCTCTCGTAGCTGTCCCGCCACAGCCGTTCTCAGTCTCTGAGTGACGCCGGCCTATTAGCCTTGGCCTCCAGGCCCAGGTGGGCCCACTCACGCACGCCCACACCACGCTGCAGGTGCCCGGCATCAGGCTCGCTCCCACGTGCCTCCCACATTCAAGGCCACAGGTGAGGACACACACAGAGCAATTCACTCACCCTACAGACTGCAAAGGACAGAGAAAAACAACAGGCCCACCATGGAGCTGTTCATGCCAGGCCCTGCCGAGAGTCCATACCTCGCCTACTGCAGGTTCAGCCTCTCTCCACGGTGGAAGTTTAAACAAGCTGATCTGAATTTGCCAACCAGGGCTGTGCAGCCTCCTGCTGGATGAGACCCCTGGGTGCCCCTCACGGAGGGAGGGAGGCTGGGCCTGAAATAGCCCTTCTTTGCTCTTGCCTGGTCCCACCTACTTCTGCCTATAAAACCTCCCACTTTGTACGGCTTTAGTGCCTGTGGGGTGCCTCCGATTCGTGAATAGTTTAAGGAGCCAACTAGATAGTCACAGTAAACTCAGCTGGACTCTCGCTGTTTCGCCGGGTACATCCCGGTACTTCCCTGACAGGACAGTGTGGTTTCTGGGTCCAGGGGCTGCGTTCTGGCTCACAGACGCTCAGCGCGAGCTGGGCCCACACACTTCCTGTTGGAATATGGACAGACTCCAGAAACCCGAGCAGAGACGTGGTGTGGAGGCCAGTCCGCTTCTCATTCTAGACTTTTCATAATGAAAATACTTGGGTGTTTGCTTGGCACCCCCAGGATATTCTTCTCCTGTCCTCAGAGCCTGGCCTGGCTTTTTGTTTTGTTTTGTTTTTTGACAATCCTGGTAATCACATCCTCGCTTCTTTACTCCCGCTTCCTGCAGGGGGCAAAGTAGGAGACTGCTGGTCACTGTTGCCATTTTTACTCGAACTTTTCCTGTTTATACCAAAGGAATACATGCTGATTGTAGAAAACTAGAAAAAGCCTCAAAGTCACGTGTAACTCCAGGGGGGTAGAAATGACCATTTTTTAGCAACTCATTTCCTTCTCAAACGTTGTTTGACATAGTAGGAAATCACATAAATATATGTGTTCGTATCCCACTTTGTAAACATCATGATAGTCGGGCTGTTTCTCTGTGTCACTAGGAATATTTCCTAAATAATTGTTTTACTGACAGCAAGTAGCTATTTCATAGTTTTCACTTATTATGTTTTATGACAATATTTTACAATACTATAAATAATGCTTATAGTGATTATGTTTGTGAATCAATTTGGACTTAGTGATTATGTTTGTGAATCAATTTGGACTTCTACAGTTAAAGGAGAAAGCTCATCTCATCCTCAGCCTGTCCCACTGAATAGTATCATCTTCTAAGCTTTGATAACACAAATGACATGTTGCTTTTTTTTTTTCCCTTTAAGAATGAGCAACATGGGCCTTCCCTGGTGGCACAAAGGGTTAAAGCACAGCACTGTGAGGCTACCCACAGCCACTGCAGCCTGAGTTTGATCCCCAGTTGAGTTGTTAACCCACATGGTGCAGCAGACCTCCGCTGACCCGCCCGCTGCTCCCCTCAGAAGTGCATTTCAGTGGATCTGCTGTTCTCTGTCTCTGGTGAAGCCTCTCACCCCCTACCTCTTACCTGTACCCCAGTTCTGTATTCATAAATAAATAGATCTTTTAAAAAATAAGAATGAGGGGCCCTCCCTGGTGGCACAGTAGGTTAAAACGCAGCACTGCAAGCTGGCTGCAGACTCTTCAGTGCGAGTTTGATCCCCGCCCCAGACTCACATGGCCCAGCAGACCTCTCCTAACCCACCCGCTGCTCCCCTTCATCAGTCGGCCTGTTCTGCTCCCTACTCTGTCTCTGGTGAATCCTCTCACCCTCTGCATCTCTGGCCTGCACCCCAGTTCTGTGCAAGTAAATAAATAAATCTTAAAAAAAAAAAAAATTGCCATCACGTTGCACAAAATCCCCTGGACCGACACACACGTTTAGACGCCAGCTGGCGTGACCACTCTGACTTGCGCGTTCCAGGGAGGAAGTCAGGGATGTTAACAGAGACCACAGGCCCCGGTGCAGTTACTTGTGCTTGGGCCTGTGTCACCCAATGGAGACTTAATACCTAATTCAATGTGGTTTCAGTGACGCCCAGAAACAGAGCCTTTCACCGGGCTATCCGGAATCGCCCGGCTGGCACCCACGAGGTCATCTGCCTGGCCCACCCAGTCCCCACAGGGAGTGAGCCTGCCCAGACCACCCCTTCCCCGATCCTGCCCCCGTCTGTCTATAGAAGGCTTCGCGTCCTGCAGCGCCTCAATGCTCCTTTCCGCTGGTGCTGTGAGACGCTGTTGGATCCATGAATCACCAGACAAAGCCAGAGTTTTAAGCTCAGAAAACAGGTTTTGGACAGGGAATGGAAGGAAAATATTCTCAGATTATCTCTGAGGCCATTTTTTCAGTGTAAGCACCTCTGAATATTTCATACTGCTGGGATGGTGGCCGAAAGGGACACAGACCTCAGCCTCCTACTCCACACGACGGTCTCAGCGGCTTTGCATTAACAGAGGGAAGATTTCATGGGACACCCAAACCCTTGTACCCACAACTCCTCCACGGCAGGCCAGGGACACCAGCACAGCCCCGCTGGCTAGCTTGTGGGGGCTGAATGTGCCCAGCTATGCTCAGGGTGCTTCTTTTACACCCTCTGTTTTTTCCACCCGATTCTTCATTTCCTGGTCCTCTTTATTCATCTTTTATTCATCCCACCTCCTGTGTCAGGTTTGCACAAGCGTCTCCTCTCTTTCTCAGAAACGCCCTTAGACTCTGGAGAGGATGGACACCAGGCCTGGTGGCAGCTGAGTTCCTGGGGGCGCCCCCTGCCCGGTCCTGGCCCTCAGGAACAGTGCTCACATGGCTTGGGGGTGTCCAGGGGAGCTTAATGCTGTCCTCAGACAACACACATTCTGTGAATTTTGCACAACAGAAGCTTGAAAGGGAAGGCATGTTGCTTCCAATTACAGCTTCATCTCCTGGACTTTCTTTTCACTCATGATCTAAGAAAGCTTTAGGGGCCACAGAGGGAAGAATTTGCTTTGAGAGGTCTTTCTAAACAGTGAAAGGCTCTCCCATTCCTACGAAGGCATCCAGACTGATCAGGGGCTACTATTAATTACAGACCTGGCCCTCCCTTGGGTGTCTAAGACCTGTGCCAGGCCTGAGCTCAGCACCAAGCAGATGTCACCTTCTTAAGTTCTTATAGCCCTCTGGGAACAGATTTACCTTTGTCGTCTCTGATTTCCAGAGGGTTCCAAACATCACTACCCTTCCCAAGTACACAGCTACTGGAAGGAAAGGCCCCGCCAGAAAAATGGCGAAGTCCCCTGCGCCTGTGTGGCCTGATGGAGCACAGACTGTGACCCCCTTTGCTCTTACCTGACGTAGAGGAGACTGTGGGCACCTGGTTCGGGCACCAACTTGGAGGCTGTGTGGCCTGTGGTCCATGCAGCTCTCCCACTGATGGTGCGTCCTTGTGACCGAGCGTCCCTCTGCCTGGTTTTTCCTTCTGTCAAATGGGGATAAACAGATCTCATTTCCCTGTAGAAGTTAGGGATATTAAAGGCGGTAATTTGCATGCAGCCTGGGAAATATGACTCACAAGTATTTTTTTACAAAGATTTATTTGTTCATGCATACAGAACTGGGGTACAGGCCAGAGATGCAGGAGTAGTGAGAGACACCAGAGACAGAGTGGGGAGCAGAACAGGCAGATAGACGAAGTACACTGCTGAGGGGAGCAGCGGGCGGGTCAGGAGAGGTCTGCTGTGCCATGTGGTCACCTCCAGGGCAGGGATTGAACTCATGCTGAATTGGCTTTAGCTTCTCAGTGCCATGCTTTAACCTGCTGCACCACCAGGGAGGGCCCACTCACAAGTATTTTTAATTATTACTTGTCTAGTGAGGAGACTGGATCTCAGTGAAGTCAAGCCCAGGGCTCAGAGCCTGTCAGCAGTAAAATGTAGGGAAAACCGGGGGCACTGCATCCATGGGCAGATGTTAGCTGGAGGCCCGGCCTGCAGGAAGCTTGGCGACCCCCGCCAGTGCCCGCACTGGTGTGTCTGCAGGCCTGGTCTGAGGGTGCTGAGCAGGGTTGACTCAAGGAGGGTGGACAGAGGCCAGCATGGGGCAGACATGCTCACCTGAAGAGAGCAGCAAGGCCCAGGGAGGATGTGTTAGGAGGAGAAAGGCAGAGCCGCAGGCTCGACAGGGCCGTGAGCCAGGCTGCGCTTCCGGTCGGAGGCCGCCACCAACCGGAGAAATCAATCTGGTTGAATGTATTCAGGACCCGCTTGGGGGCAGTCCTGCCACAAGCCAGGAGGGGGGAAGAGAATCGTGTCCGACCTCGTTCCTGGGGCAGAAATAGGAGCCCAGGTGGTTCATTTCCAAATGGGCAGCGGCCTGGCCTTTCCCAGGTGAGCACAGGTGCTGGGATCCCCATACGCTGATGCCAGGCCAGAAAGGCCCAGTGGCTGCTGTGACGGACCTGTGAGGCCTGGACTTACTTCTTTCAACCATGTTGATAAGGACAGCGTGACAGGGGCCTGCCTTGGCACTTTCAAGCTATCACCAGCCACCTTGGCCTGAGTTCGATCCCCGGCAGGGAGCTGACCCACAGGGCGCAGCTGGTCGCTCCTGTCTCCCCGCTGTTCTCCTCAGCAGTGTGTTTCAGTAGATCCGCCTGTTCTGCTCCCCACTCTGTCTCTGGTGCGTCCTCTTAACCCTGCACCTCCAGCCTGAACTTCAGTTCTTGCATAATAACAAAAACAAACAAACAAACAAAAGCCCCAGCTTGATGTGGCAGAAGCAGGGCTTCCCTGAAAGCTGCCAAATGGGAGGTTTCCACCCTGCCCTCCACATCCAGCAAGACGGCAAACAGGCCGTTTGAAGGGTTGTATGAACATTAACTCGCTGTTTGTTAGCTCTGCTCACTAGCCTTGTGAGGGATAATCCAGGCGGGAAAGAGGATAAAAAGTAGTAAAGGGAGGGGAAAATCTTCAAAAATAGACAATACCTGCCCCGTTGGAGTCCAGCCTCCTTCGGCTTTTAGGGCCCGGCGCGCACCCGTGCCACTTATGGGTGTTAAGCGTCAAGGTCACAACACAGAGCTAGAGGGCAGCGAGTGTTAAAACCAGCACAGGCCGTTCCCCGCCACCCCTGCCCGCCTGTGTCTAGAGGTGTCTTGCTTTCCTTCTCCTTTTCCTAATAAATCTGTCCATGGAGAAAGTGAGAAAACAAGCCAGTCCTTGCGTTTGCCTGCCTCTGCTCGTGGCCAGGTGCTGAGGCCGCGAGACAGCAGAGCAGCCGGGCTTTGACCTCCAGACGGCGCTGAAGCCCGGCCCTGCTGTGAGGCAAGCCGCGCTGTGCTTCCCCCGTCAGGGAAAGGCGCGGAGGGGTAAGAAGCCCAGACGCGCTCCCAGGTCTCGATCTTGAATTTTGCAATAGACATTTGAAGGGTTGTTTGGAAGGGAGGCGACATCCCCCCAAACTTCAGGGGATGTGGTGAGTCCATGGTGCACTTGAGGTGGCCCCACATCACATGCGGGGTTGGGGCGCTTCCTCCGACCCTTGAGCCAGACTCCGGGAGCGGCAGAGCAAGTCTTTCTGACCACTCTGGGCTGAACTTGACGGCGCCCTTCTGTTCCTAGGGCTGGATGCCCAGAGGAAGGGCAGACCCTGCTGCTGCCCTCTGCAGTGTCTGCTCTTCCCCGGGGACTTGCTGCTAACTGCTGCCAAGTGGACAAAAGGGACGTGTGGGGGCCCTCCCTGGTGGCGCAATGGGTTAAGCGCAGCACCCTGCAGCTGGCCACAGCCGCTTCAGCAGGAGTTCCATCCCCGGCCAGGGAGCTGACCCACAGGGGCACAGCAGACCTCTCCTGTCTTCCTCCTGCTCCCCTCAGCAGTGCACTTCATCAATCTGCCTGTTCTGCTCCCCACTCTGTCTCTGGTGAATCTTCTCAGACCCCCTACCTCTGGCCTGTACCTCAATTTTGTATGCACAAATAAACAAATCTGAAGGAAACAGACAGAGGGAAGAAGGGAGGGAGGAAGGAAGGAAGGAAGAGAAAGAAAGAAAGAAAAAAAGGGAGGGACTTGTTCTCACAAGAGAGCTGGGACTTGGGGATCAGCACCCAAAGTCTACTGAAGTCTAGGTTGTGGCTGAGAACGTTAACTAGGCTCTCGCTCCAGTGTCTCAGATATCAGCCTCTGCGCTCATGGAATCCCCTGTCGAGGAACGGACCCCACAGCCGCCGTCCTCCTCCCCAGGGGCGCTCGCTCGCCTTAACCCGGCAGCCCCTGCTGCCCTCACCAGGAGACCCCTGCATCTTCAGGAGCGGGTGTTCTGAGGCTTTGTGGAAGTTGCTCTTACCCCAGTCCCTCAGGAAGGATGCTCCTTGCTCAAGGGGTACTGCACACCACGAGGACCCCACCCCAGTCGGTGGATTGTTTCCCCTTGAATGAGCTGATCACGCAGTCCTCTGCTGCGCGGCAGGTGTCCCAGACAATTCAGTTCCGAGACGCCACGGGTTCAGGGCTCGGTCCCATAAGCACCCTCCACTCCTTCGGGAGACTATTTCAGGGCATGGTAAGTTGAGACGTGCATGGGCCTCTGAACTCAATCTCCATCCCTCGAGTTCATGGAGGTTGGGTGGGGGCGGGGCTAAAAGATCTGCCTTTCACGTCATGTGGTTGTTTCCCCTGGCCACCAGCCCCATCCCTAAGGACTTCCAAAAGTCAGTCTGCTCACACAGGGCTATCTTTTTGGCTTAGTGATTCCACTGTGGGGTCTATCCTAAGCAGCAGTCAGAAATGAAACTAATGATTCAGTGTTCTGGAATTTCGCCCACTGTATTATTACTTCGGCTGAAAGTGGGAAGTAATTTGAATGACTAACATTAGACGCACATTAGAATTAAAATTGTGGCCACGGGAACTTTGGGAGAACCAGGTTTAAGCCCACCTCATGTAGTATGTCTGCCCATCTAAATTTGCATCGCAGAGAAAGACAGAGGAAATTGTGTAAAATGTGAGTGTCCGGAGTAGCCTAGACTGTATACTCCGGTGTCTCTGAGTGGTGGTGTTTCCGGCATCTTTGTTTTTTCCCTTTAAAAGCATTTCCAGAATGAGGTGCTCTCCTTATGGAAAAGGTGAAATTTATATAAACCACCTTAGAAGTCGTCAATAGCTAGGTAAAGGAAGGGATAAGCTGGACTGAGAAGAGGATGTGTGCAAATTCAAAGGGGAATCAAACGGGTTCTCAGATTTGGGGGGATGAGGTTGAGGAAGACACTGAAAAATACATGTCAGCGTCTTGAGAGAAGGAAAAAGACATCACCTTTATGCAAGCATTTCCTTCCCTCCCCCAAAACAGCCTTGGCTTTTACTATGTTAAAATCAGAATCGCATGCCATGCCCACGACAAAACTGAAATCGCCCTCAGCTGCCCCCCAGGGCAGGAGACTTAACGTGGCCCAATCACAGGGGCTAGACGCCTCTCAGGCCAGATGAAATTGAGTCCAGAACCCTGGCCTTACTGACATTTGAATCTTTCCCGCCGTGTGTATTTTAAGGCTCCGCTCTGTCTCCCTAACTGCCCTGGAGAGCCCAGCTGGCTGTCATCCTTGGGTGACAGATGGGTCCCCCTCACCAACCGATTCTCAGTACAGGTTTTGTGCAAGGGCCTGGGGCCGGTCATCCCCGGTGCTGTCTCCACATACTCTGGCATCGCTTTCATTATTTTTGAGGCCAGAGGTTGGGGGGGGTTTGCTGAAGGGAGTGGAGAACAGAGAGCAGTGGGAAAATCATGTATGGCGGGGGGCACAGGCCCAGGTCACCTCCCCCAGTCTGACGGGTCTGAGACCCAAGAGTCCTGGACAGAGGTGTCCAGCAAGCTGTGCTGTGTGCAGGGGAGATACTTACAAAAAAGGATGCAGAAGCCACAGGAATGCTCGCTGAAAGGCAGAGCAGTCAGTCAGGTTTGGTGGATTTGTGGTTCTCTCTGGCTCCCTAATGTCAGCCTCCGACAGAGAGTGTGGCCGGAGGGTGATGGTGGGTGGACAGATGCCTGGACCGCCAGCCTTCCCAGTGGCGCCTAAGTAAATAGCCCCGGACTTTGTGCTGACCGAGGTCCTGTCAGCTAATTTCACTTTCAGTTCTTGACGTGGTAGTCCCATGACTTTTCAGAAAAGAGGGATGTAAACAACATTGTTCAACACGTACTCAACCCACGCTGGGGCCGGCCAGACAGTGGACTTAGGCCAGGTGAGTGTCTCGCTTCTATCACAAATCATCCCATGCCAGGGCACACTCAAGTGTCTCAAAGTGATCACACCCACGATAAAGACAACTGAAAGCCTCCTTTGGGAGGGACCTTTCAAGATCATCGGGTCCGAGCGCCCAGACCCGGGTCACTGCCCCCTTTACGGAAATCCGCTGTGCATGTGACTGGGCTTTTCTGGACACAAAGCCCAGCCGTGGCGTTCTTTATCGGGTGCTAAGGCTCGAGCAGAAGCGGCGGCAAAATCCCCTTTATTTCAAAATAAGAGCAGATACAACTTTTATTTTTGCAATCGTGGGGCTCCTAGCACACGTTGTGAAGTGGCTTCCTTTGCTCATGTGAGCAGCTGGCTGGAATTTCCAGGAGGTTCAGCTTGGTTCAGTCTGTTGCTAGCAACCTGGAATATTGCTGCATCCTGAGGGGGGTTTGGGAAAGTCCCTCTCCTCTTCCCAAGGGAGAACTGTAAATTGTTTCCCTTTGTAGTTCTCTGACACTCCAATCTTAAGAAGGGATGGGATCCAGCAGGAAAAACAAGCTCTGGGATCTGGGAGCTTTGCTTCAGGTTAGCAGACTTAACCCCTCTGAGCCTCAGTTTCTCATCTGTAAAATGGAAACAATTCCTACTTCATAGTGGTGGCTGGAATCGGAGATAATGGATGAATATGCTTGACATTGCCCTGGGATAATAGTAATGGAACTTCTTAGCACAACCTGAGTTTTTATATGTCCACTTCAGCCGTCCTTTAAGGCATAATGTTTCCTTGAAGGTAACAGCAAAATTAACTTTCTGGTACTAATGTAAACTCGTTTCTCTGAAAACAGACCATTGGTAAGCGAAGTGGCAGATGCTGCAGAGACAGAAATATGCCTAAAACTTTTATTTGAAGTTAGAATGCATGTAGTTTCAACGCATCAAGTTCTCAAAGTTCATTATGAAGAATAGCCAGTCCAACAACCTCCCTTCTTGGCAAGCTCTTCCACCTGTTTCAGATTTATTTATGCATATAAGAACCTGGGTACAGGTCAGAGGTGTGGGAGAGGAGAGGATTCACCAGAGACAGAGTGGGGAGCAGAACAGTCCGACTGATGAAGCACACTGCTGAGGGGAGCAGCGGGGGGTCAGGAGAGGTCTGCTGCTGGGTCATTCCCTGGCCAGGGATCAAACACGTGCTATAGTAGCTGCCCGCGAAGTGCTGAGACTTAACCCTTTGCACCATCATGTTTCAGCTGATTCTATAGGTATTAGCTCCGTTCTCTGAATAACATGCTTTGCTTACTGGTACTTCTTGATTTTTGTTTCAGCATAATTTATTGACTTTTGGCTACAGGAGATGACAATGAAGTCTCCCATTCATGTTCCACTAATGAGTCCTCCCTCCTTCACACATTCCAAATTGGTTATAGTTTTGCTTACATCAGTGTTCACAATGTTGTAACTACATGAAGAATCTACGTATAGAGTATTTGAACCATTAGAAAATTCCAGCTTTTCCTTCCCTGCATACCTTTTATATTTCCTGGAGATTAGCTGCCTTAATTTGTTTGCTTGGTTTTCCATGTCCTTAGCACTAATCCAACCCTTAAATCTTCCTGATTTTTTTCCCCATGTAATTTGTAAGCTGGCCCTTGATCTCCTCCTGAGAAAGAATTCCCCAGGCTGGCCACCCACATGAGGGACACAACAGTCCTCCTGCACGGAATTCACTGCCACCACCCAGGGGCTTCCTGGGTTTCTAGGCTAGCCTGGCACTATCTTCTGCCTCAGAGATGTTTATCTTTCTTGATTCTTTATTCTACTCTTAATCAATCAGAGGCAGACCAAGGACTGAATTTGAGATTAGAAATAATTTTTTTCTGATAATACTGAGAGCTTTGTTCTGTCCCAGGTAGTCTTCATATTAGTGAGAAGTTAAAAACCATTCAGTTTTCTAGCTTCCCCAACGGCCTCCTCTCCTGTTCTCATCTCTTCAATTTGTCTTAAAAACCAAAAATGACTTTTTACTGGGGTTTGAGGAGAAGCAAAATCAAATATGTCCAGTTTGCCATCTTTAACTGCAGGCTTAAAATCTGTCCATCCTTCCATCCATTCCCTCACCCCACCCATCCATCAATCCATCCACCCATCCACCCACCCACCCATCCA